GGAGTGTCTTCACTTTAGCCATTAAACGTCTCATTCACCGGTTCTTCATTAAATGCCTGTCTTAAACAGGGCCATTGAATCAAAGACATCAGACATGTTTGAATTATGGAGATCAACTGCTTCATTGTTGGCTTTGGGCACATGATGAAAGGAACTGAATTTAATATTCCCTCAGAAAAATGATGTAAGGAGAGGTAATTGGCAGCACCTGGAAGATACCATCTTAAAGTGGACAGCTGCCAGAGATGTGGTTATGGAGGCACAAGTCCATTCAAGACACACCGATTCCCAATCATGTTACAACACTAGCGGCCTCACTCAAGGATCAGATTGAAGAACTAAGTGTGTGTGTGAATAAATTCTCTGGCCGTTTTGAAAATGGGAATTGTGTGACAGGTGGTTGTAAGATCGTGTAGTTTCATCATAAATAGAGAATGCAGAGACTTGCATTTGACTCTTTCTTTTGTACAGAGCTCAGCGTGGGGATGTAATTTGAGCATCGCCCGCAGGCAGACTGCTAGGACTGCCGCGGCAAACATGCAAACTCTTCTCAGGCTTCTTTGGTTGGTAGTAAATGAGCTGAGGGGTCAATAGGAATAGATGGCATCTGAAATTTGCTACTCAAACAACTCTTGTTTCTCAATGTGTGATCCAAGAATCCTTGGTGTCAGAACTGTCATGTGAAAGCATGGTGTAGTGGTGCTGTTATTAAAAAATTAGAAACTTGAGTGACTATACTGTACCACATTCTATTGCTGGGGTAAGAAGTGAGTAAAGAGACCACGATCCCTGCTTTGTGGAACTTTTCATTCTGCAGTTGTTTTCCAAGGGTTGGCCCTGGACCAATAGCATTTCCTTCACCTGGGTACTTAGTAGAAATGTAAATTTTCAGGCTCCACACTGAACCTATCTAACAAATCAGAAACTCTGGAGGTGCAATCAAATGATATAACTTTTAATAAGCCCTGCTGTTCTTGATGCATAGTAGCATTTAAGAAGCATTCATCTAGGACAGGGTTATTCAGCTTCCCCACTACTGACATTCTGAGCTGGATAGGTCTTTGTTGTAGGGGCTGTCCTGTGTATTGTAGGATATTTAGTAGCATTCCTGGCCCCTATTCTCAAGATGCCAGGTGGCTCCCCGACTCCAGCTGTAACAATAAAAAAAAAAAGTCTCCAAATATTATGAAGTATTCCCTGGGGACAAAATCTTCCCTAGATGAGAACTGGTGCCTTATGGCAAGGCTGCTCAAAATGGTCCGCTCACTGGCACCACTGGGGCTGAGAAGGAGGAATCTGTGTTTTAAAAAGCACTTCTGGTGATCCTGATGCTGCTAAGGTTTGGGAGTTACCATCCTAGCAGAGCCAGGCAAGAAACCATTAGATGTAAGTAAATCACTCCAAATGCTGAGTATGCTACACGTCAGATTGGTAGGATGGCATGTCTTCACTTTATCCGTTAAACTTCACATTTCAGAAGACTGAGAAGACAGGAAAGAAGGGTAGGGTGCTCTGTGGGAAGGCTGTAATTTTAAATAATGTGGTCACAGAAGGTCTACTGAGAAGGTGATACTTGATCTGAGACAGAAGGAAGTGAAGCAGTAAGCCAGATAACGGGAAGAATGTTTTTGGCATAAAGGAGGAAAAAAGGCCAAAGTCCTGGGGCAGGTGTAGGTCTGGTGGGTTTAGACGGCAGTGAGTAGTCCACAGTGATACAGTGGGCAGGTGTGGCAGGAAAATAGTTAGAAAAGAAGTGAAAAATAATGAATGAATTAACTTGCCTCATTGCAGACTTGACTTCTGTATGTACTAACTGTGTGTCTTGCAGCACATGCTGTGATCTTTTTGGACCTGAGGTTTCTTTTGTATACCTGTTCCCTATAGGCCTTCTCTGAGAAATAAACACATCAAATGATAAACTTATGAGAAGGAACATAGTACATATTTAAATTCTAAACTTCTAGCACTTAGCACATTACGTTGATCCTAAGACATAATCAACACATGTTATATAGATTGTTAAAAAAAAATATGAACAGAAAAATTGAGACCTATCAGAGCAGATTCTCTGCCTCAGTCTTCCAGATGGAGACTGGAAATCTGCATTTAAAAGATTTCCTAGGTGACTCTTGAATATATACAATAGTTTGAGGATCTTATTCTCATATAAATGTACCATGATCCCTTTTAAATTATTTGAAAATCTCTAGCAGTGGAATTTTCCAAGGATAAAAATCCATCCATGAGTTCTAAGACCTTCCCCAAAATGAGCCAGGTTTTAGACCTACCATGGCATGCTTGGGGATGCTACTGCGGGTTTTTTCACTTTGTAGTGAGGCTTTTTGGACTGAATATTCAGGGGACTCCTCAGAGGAAGCCAATCTAAGAACTGGAAACATGTCCTGACCCACTGCATGATAAAAGTAATTCTGAGGTAGATATGATATTACATCCACCATGAATACCTTGAAATTAAAGTTATCCAAGGCAAAAGATTTCTTATATTGTACCTATCTAAGTTTTCTTTTGCTTTGCATTCAATGCCTCTCTTCTGATTTGTTGACTTACGTCATTACGCTTTGGTAACTAAATAACCACGAACTTCTGTAACTTCTACCCTCCTAAATGCTTGGTGTTTGGGGCCATTTTCAGTCCTTAAAAATAAACCATTCTTCAACATGTTACTCTCTGGATATTTTGCTCAACCTTATTTGCCTTAGGGAACCAAAAAGATTAAATCTTACCAGGTCTTGAAGCTACAGCAATTTGAACTGCTAGATTTTTCTGCCTTAATTTCCCCTCTGTGAGTTCAAGAGGTCAGACATAGTCTGAGGCAATACTTAAGAAGTCTGTTTCTCAAAAAAGCAATTGGATTAAGTTGCTTGAATCCGTTTCCTCTTTTCACATTGAAATGATGGGGGCAGGGGATGCAGGAGTGTCGAGATGAGCTTTAAATTGATTTATTTGGTAGAGAAAAAGGCACCAAAGCTGAAGAGAAAATGCCTTCTCATTATTTAGTTGCTAAGCTACACCTGATAGTTCATGCTGTGGTCCATGACCGGAGCTGGAAGCATCCAAACAGTTTTTATTCATTTAATTCACTAATAAATTAATTACACTCAGTAAGATTCATACACAAGCAATCTAAAGAGGTTAAAAAAAATCAAGGATGTTGCCATTTATACCAAACTGAACTATCATTAGTTTTAAAATTTCTCATTACAGGCCTATGCAACATTTATACTTCACACCCCTCATTCCACCGATGGGAGAACTGAGAGGCCTAACGGTACTAGAGCCTGTTTCAAAGTTCTCAAGAACTTCTGTCTTCCAAGATTAGGCACGACACACTCACAAAACGCTTCCCCCCGCTACTTGTTCACCAAGAAACATTTCGAGTTAAAGATGCTTCTAGGGTTGGCAAATAAAATTCAGGATGCCTAGCTAAAATTGAATTTCTGATAAACAACAAATATATGTTTTAGCACAATGATGTTCTCAATACAAGTATGTCTCAAATATTACATGGTACATACACATATACTAACGATGTATTTACTGTTTACCTGAAATTCAAATTTAACTCGACATTCTGTATTTTGACTTGCAAATGCTGCCAATACTAGTTATTCCTCTTTAATGCATGCTGTTTAAACTTCAGTGCAGTAGCTCACACCTGTAATCCCAGCGCTTTAGGAGACCAAGGCCGGTGGATCACTTGAGCCTAGGTGTTCAAGACCACGCTGGGCAAAAAAGCAAGACCCCTGTCTCTACAAAAAAAGAAGAAAAAATACCTTGGAGTGGTGGCGTGTACCAGTGGTTCCAGCTACTTGGGAGACTGAGGTGTGAGGATAGTCTGACTCAGGAGTTTGCGGTCACAGTGAGTTGTGATTATGCCACTGCACTCCAGCTTGAGCAACAGAGCAGCAAGCTCCTGTCTCAAAAAAAATAAAATAAAATAAAGGAATATTCCATTGTAATGGGTAAAACTTAATCAAAGTGAATCTCTGAGACAAGTTATTTAGCTTCCCTAGCAGGAGGAAATTAAGAAAACTAAGTTATAGTCTTTGAATAAAAGACAATTTAGAACCCAAGACTTTCCTTTCTTTTTTCATATTTTTTTTTTTTGTTTTGAGACCGGGTTTTGCTTTTGTTACCCAGGCAGGAGTGCAATGGCCCGATCTCAGCTCACCGCAACCTCCGCCTCCTGGGTTCAGGCAATTCTCCTGCCTCAGCCTCCTGAGTAGCTGGGATTACAGGCATGCGCCACCATGCCCAGCTAATTTTTTGTATTTTTAGTAGAGACGGGGTGTCACCATGTTGACTAGGATGGTCTAGATCTCTTGACCTCGTGATCCACCCGCCTCGGCCTCCCAAAGTGCTGGGATTACAGGCGTGAGCCACCGCGCCCGGCCAGACTTTCCTTTCTTAAAAAATGTTAGGATTAGAAGCTATTGTCATAGTTTCCTAAGTAGAGGTATCTCTCAGTAGACCCTAGAAGTTATTTTATTATGTAAAAAACGATGAAAACAAGAATATTACAACATGGTTTTTTTTTTTATAAATCTTCAGGGGCCTGGATTATAACAGAATTTCTATCCAATCTACTTTAGTTTGCTATTGGGTCAAAGGTCCGTGCTTGTGGGATGGGCACTGTAATTAACAATTGCCACCTGTGTGAATTCTTTTGCATCTTAAAGCCCCTGAGCCTGCCCCTGAGCCCAGTTAATATAAAGCATTGCACCAAGATGGCTGCACCCCCTCGTGTGATTCCCTCCTCGTGAACGGGTACAGCTTCCGTGGAGAAGTTTCAGTTTGGCTTTAGATTAAGCAAAAGAACTTGGTGGTCTTCTCGTTTCAAGACGGTTCACTATGTCACATCATGGAAAGGTGGTATTGTGGAGAAGCAGGCAAAGATTTGGAGTAATGTAATCTGCTTTAATTTCACTTTCTGCATGGTGATGTTTAAGACTGCTAACTGAAGACCATTGCTTTTGCAGGATCCAGAACGTCATCGTAAGAAGACAGCCGCCAGTCCTGCTCATCTGGAGAATTGTTCTCACAGTCTGCAGCCAGGAGGTACGTTCAGGTTTAGTCCTGTTAAGTTCCCTAATACTCTTATTAGAAGTTATGGTCAGCAATTCCCTTTGTAATCATCCCTGCTTTTTAGAATGCTTATTCCTGTTCATCAGCTCCACCCAAGGCAGCAGTTTCTTGCCAGGAAGAGCTCAGAGAAAAGAATTGTGCGGATGTCTTGCTATATGTTGCAATGTCTCTTGAAACAAGGTGGTTCTGGAAGCTTGAGAGTTTTGCTTCTGTTTAAGGTGGGAAAGAAAGTTGTGACTGAGAAAATGGGAATGGATTTAGGGGGTGGAACTTCATTTTAGAGCTATGTGATGAAATGTGAACTGAGTTTTTAGTACAATTTTCATGTCGGTGTAATAAATAGTTAAGCATTAGAATGACTTCCGGTGCCATGTTATTGTACTCACCTGGAAGTTAAACAGGCTGTTCTGAAGCAGCTCTCTCGCTTTAAAAGATTTTGGTCTCAAACCACTGTATTCTGGTGATTCTAAATGTGGTAATCTTTCTGGTTTAGTATGTTTCACAAAATCCCAGACTCAACCAATATAATCAGTATGCTTTGCTTAGTCATTAAGGTTTTCCAGGGTAAAATATGCAAAGATATTAAAATCTGAAACGTAAGTTTTATATACTTTGGGGACTTGGAGGTTTACATCATGTATCTGCAAACATTTTCTGTAAAGGACCAAACAGTAAATATTTTAGGTTTTTTCTAGGCCATATGGTCTTGTCACATGACTCAATTCTGCCATTTTAGCAGTAGAGCACCCCTAGATAAGATACAAAGGAGTATGGTATGTTTCAATATAACTGTATTTGCAGACACTGAAATTTAAATTCTGTATTATTTTCATGTGTTGTAAAATGTATTTCCCTTGCTATTAGTTTTCCAGCTCAAAGGTTAGGAAAAAAAAATGGATGAAAGGGTGGATTTGGCCTACAGTTTGTACTTTACTGACCCTACCTCTAGATCAATAAAACAAGTCCATTTCTGTGACTCTCCACTTAGTTTGTACTCCCTGATGCTGCAAGAGTCTTATATTATATTCATGTTAAACTAATGTTTTCCAAAATGAATGGGACACATGTCAGAGGCGTTAGTGCCTCTTGGGTTTAGGCATCATATTTTTAGCATTGTGGAAAAAGGGAGCAGTGTCAAATATTAAAGCCACCTGGAGCATCTTGGGTGTTGATTCTGATTATTCTAGGAATAAATCTTTGGCATTTGGGGCATTCTACCTTCCCAGTCAATAACCTCCCAACCTCTCTCACCCGCTCTCAACCTTCTTTCCTCCCACCCTCTCATAGCTCCCTTTTAGCTCTTGAGCCAGGTAGCAGGACATGAGACAATTGTCAACTTGGTTGCTGCTGTTCAACAGGTCATTTGACAGAAGGTTTCTTTATTTTCTGTTTTTATTGTTTCTCTGTGATTAAAGGAGTTCATTTCAAACACATGGCAAGAGTTGTTTGGCCATAGCTATTCCTCAGTGTGGGCAAACTCAAGTATCGGAAACAAACCCATCCACTGCCCTCCCTCTTACTCTCTACACACACCTAAATAATTAACTTGAGGCATGATGATTGAAGAAAAATATCCTTTACAGAAGAAAGATTGCATGCAATCTTTTTTTTTGAGACAGAGTCTCACTCTGTCACCCAGGCTGGAGTGCAGTGGTTCAATCTCAGCTCACTGCAACCTCCGCCTCCTGGGTTCAGGCAATTCTCCTGCCTCAGCCTCCTGCGTAGCTGGGATTACAGGCACGCGCCACCATGCCCAGCTAATTTTTTGTAT